TAATGGGTTGGAGCATTTAATGACCCCCTTGTTATGCAATTCCCATTGTGTGATGCCTTCTTGTTGTTTTGCCCTTCTAAAACACTTCATTACTCATATTAACATGATTACTTTTCTGACATAAAGAATAAAGCTGCCTAAGACCCATTTGCAACGGAGCTTCAAGCACTGGCGTGGCTCTGTGGTAGAATACTGGGCTGGCACGCAGGAGATCCGGGTTCGAATGATAACATATATTGTTCCCCCAGACTTAAAAATGTAACGCTCGCAGCAGTCTTCAGTTGTGCTCTGAAGGCTGCCGGCAAAGATCCCCTGGTGAAGGTGGGTGATTTGAAAGCTCACAGCACACTCTGGGGGTACATGCGTGATGAGAAGCGTGGGCGCAAGCTAGCACAACTTGTGTCCACACTGGGTCTCACTCTTCACACTGACCCTGCACATCCAAAGCGGGTAGGTAACTCTGTGACTCGGAACAGATGTTTGGACCTTACCTTCACCAAAAACATTAGACATGCAGACTGGGCCAGCACCGAGGAAACCCTCAGTGGTGACCACTGCATACTCAACACCACCGTCACAACCAAACCACTGGCAAGACCCTATGCCCAAGCCCGAATACCCGACTGGACAAAGTTCCGGAAAACCTACACTAATCTGGTCCCTATTAGCAAAACAGGTTACCTACCATGCATGGTCACGAGAATCGGTCACACACCTTTGTTCGACGGAAACTCAAGTTCAACTTTCGGAGGCTATACCGGAGGCAGACAGCCACCTTCTTCACCTCTGGAAGGCGCAGCACAGCCCTGTCAGTAGATGGCAGTGCCAAAAACACAATCGGAACCTCGAAATTTGCATTGCCGAGCTCATATAACGAGCGGCAGAGTACGCGGCCCAGCTCGCCGACTCGAATTGGGTGGACCGATGCAACACGGCTGCTAGACAAATGTTCAGCCAGAACACTTGGCGTCTCTTTCGGCCCTTGATAGATCTGACTCAAACCAGAGCCGACACACAAAAACATCTCCAATGTATTACCCATGCCTTGGACGGAGATGCCTCAAAATTAGCATGCAAACTACGCAATCATTACCTCTGTGTCCGACATGACACCAAAGGCCCAGCGTACTCCTATGCAGGTTCCGAGAAGGCAGAGCTGGATCAACCGTTCTAGCTCCGTGACCTGAAGGCGGCCCTGACTAAAATAAGCAAGGAACGGCACCGAGGAGAGACAAAGTAACAGTAAATTACTTTCCAACCTTCACAACTCGACCTATGACGCACTCCTCGCGCAGATGAACTCAATCTGGCTTGAGAGGATACCCTTTCCAATCGAATGAAAGACCGCCCAGGTCACTTCCATTCCGAAAACCGGCAAAGCCATAAACGCGGACAACCTTCGCGCCCATCTCTCTCACATCTTGTGCGGGAAAGCAGATGGAAACTATGGTGCAAGATCACCTGTCTGAGTTTTTGGAAAACCAACACAAATTTGCAGACACAATGTTCGGGTTCTGCCCACATCGGTCCGCACAGGATGTCCTGCTTCAATTAGACCGTGAAATTCTAAATCCTGTAGTATACCCTCTTAATGACAAGGCAGAGCCCGCACTTGATTTGAAGGGGGCTTTTGACAAGGTCACACATGACATAATACTGAAGCACCCTTTCCAAATCAACTGTGGACACATGTTTCAATACATTCGGCAACTCCTCTCTGATTGACAGTCATACATCCGAATACAAGATGAAGAACACAGCCCCTACCAATTAAGTACGAAGGCACCCCACAGGGTGTGGTCCTCTCACCCCTACTGTTTAATCTGGCTATGATGAAACTCCCGGCTCAACTGGATAATGTTGAAGGCATACAGCACGCGCTCTATGTTGACGATATTACCATACGGGCTAAACACGAATGAGTACGAAACATAGAAGCCAACTAGCAGCAAGCCGCGAAGATTGTGGATGCCTACGCCCGCCACTGCGGCCTTCAATGCTCCCCAACCAAATCAGAATTTGTGAACATCTGCCCCTCGGCAAAGTGCACTACCAATATTGAACTGTCCTATCAATATTGAACGTGGTGAGATCAGAGTACTGGGTCTGTTTATTCATAAACATCGCTGATGTGATACAACATTGACAAAATTGTGTAAGGTGGAGGACCAGGTGGGCCGCATGGTTCGCTGGGTTTCCAACAAGCGAAAGGGGTTATGTTACAAAGATGCCTTGCAGCTGGCCGATGCATTCGTAACCAGTCGAGTCCTGTACTCGGCTCTTTACCTCCACCTGGGCAAGTTTGACGAGAACACCCTTGAGGTGATTCTAAGGAAGATGCACAAGCATGCTCTTGATCTCTCAATAACCACGTCCAACCAGCGCCTTAAGGCCTGGGGATGATAAACATTTTTCCAGATCTCCTGGAGGCACACTTGACAACCCGACCACCCAATACACGAGACTTACGAACACTTCATCGGGTCGCCGCCTATCAGCCTGACTACATATCCGCCACCCATCAAAGACGGAAGAATGCGTACGCATCCCAGAAGTCTTGAGATACGCCCTGCACGTGCGCCCTCTTCCGGCCAGCATGGCACGTGACGACCACAGTGGCAGGCGCTTTGCTATGGGAATAAACACGACATCTTTTACGTTAACGCCTCCAGCCCTCACTATAAGGGGTGGTACACAACTGCAGTCGTCCACCAAAACATAGCGGGGAATGGCCTCACATTCGGAACACAGGACATAACAGGTGCGAAGAAAGTCACCATCGCACTAGCTGCCGCAGGTCAGGACTCACGGGTCATCATTACGGACTCAAGAGGGGCCTGCACAAATATTCAACGTGGATATGTCCCATACCTGGCGTACCCCATCTTACAAAGCAGTAATTACGTCGGGGCCCCCACGTCCCGTAGGATCATAAGGGCTCCAGCTCACACGGGCCTTGAAGGTAATGAAACAGCTGACGCCACTGCCCGCCCACTTGCTTTTCGGATAATGCCTTCAGACTTTTCTGAACTGGATCCAGAACCTAATCTGGCCTTAACATTTCGAGAAATTACTGATTTATATCGATTCGGCCATGCAATTTGTCATGAACCCTGTAAGGGCCTTACAAAGGCAGAGGAACGCTTGCTCCTCCAACTCTAAACCAAAACACTTCTGTGCCCGGCAGTTCTAAAATTTCTCAATCCTGCCTGTACAGGAAAATGCCCGCACTGTGCGGAAAAGTCTTCCGACATCTTTCACATGATGTGGGCATGCCAGTCAACTTCGCGCCTCACCCCAAAACCAAAGCCCAACCAGGAGCACTGGGAGGCAGCCCTGCTCAGCTGTTTTGACCTGGCAAGCCAGAAGGCCCTGATCAATCGAGCTCGAGTCGCGTTGGCTGCCAATGGACTTCTGTAACGAGGAGCTCACCTAGTGTGTGTGAGGGGTGGCCTGTACCAGGCCACCCCCCTCCTACTCCCGGTAATATATCACGGCTGGTTATTTTTTCATCCACTTTTCTTTCTTCTTATTTACATTCCATTGGTTCTAATAACTTCCCTTGTACATTCCTTGGCATTACTGTCTGTTAAATCTCATATATATATATATATATATATATATATAAAAGTTTTTTCTCTCTCTTGTGTTTGTGCTGCTTTGGCGCTGTCTCTAAAGACAACGCATTCAAGACGCGTTTGTGCTACATTGAGATCAGTGGCAACTTCAAGTCAAGGAGCATTTTTGATTACTCTAGCGAATTTCCATTGTCTATTCATTTGCATGACAAATACTTACGCACATACTGAAGGACACATTTTTGCTTACACCACTAATAGCTGTGCTTCTTTACTTTTTGGCATTGAGTTTCATACAATAACACCTAGAGAGAAATCTGGCGCTAGTGTCTATGCGGGCTCCTTCAGTGGCGCTTGCGCCCTCCTAGTAATTATATGGTAAGTACAGCCTTCGGATCTTCTTTGAATGGATCACGTTTTTGAGATTCACGACGCTTGTTTGCCGAGTGTAAAACAAAGTGATATAAAGTTATATTTATCTGAAAATTGTTTCATTCTTTTATATGCAAACTTTATTGCAAACATTTTTTGCGACTATGCGGCAGAAGTGAAACCTGGACAAATTGAGCCACCAGGGTAGCATTCCTCTGCCATTGTGTTCCACATAGGGCATCAAAATAAAATGAATTATTTTTTACAACACTTGAAAACAAACATGCTTCTTTTCACCTTGAAAATTTGCTTAATCTATTTATGGAAATAACAGTACAGTATTAATTAAGAAACACTTCACGTTTCGTCTGCTGCGGTGCCAAGCGCGTCGGTCCAAGTGGTCTGCCCCCAATGCACCTCTCATTTTATTGCAAAGTGAAGTCAGAAGAGCGTGACAGTGCATCTACTTCATATCTACCATCGTATTGCAGTTGATTTAAATGAGTTTTGGCAAGACGCACCAACAAAAAAATGTGAAGTCGATGTAATATCCTGCATTGGCATGGGACACATCTATGCACAGCGGTGAGTAAACGGCGCTTCGCTTAAACTGTCGAATGCGACTTATACAGCTCCAACGTCGCAGTAAATTGAGAGACCTAGCGGTGTTAAGCTTCTTTAAACAAAAAAATGCGCTGCTTCAGTGCTTTGCACCCACCCCACCACCCACTCTGCACGAAGAATGAAAATGAAACTGTAGAAAAAGATCCATAGACAGTTCACTAGCCAACGCGATACCACCTGAAGCATGTACTTCGCATAATTCCCATGAGGGTGCACAATCGCAGCACCAGATTCCTCTGTAGCTATTATTGTATGGAAACTATGCTTTTTGTAGATGAAATACAATAAATTTTTGAATTGACATTAGAATGTTCGTATAAAATTTCCCTCTATTCGGTTCAAAATATGTACCATTCAAACACCATTCTATTGGAGAGGACCAGGTATATGAAAATGAGCGATGAGGTCAAATACTTGGTTACCTACCCTGATTGACAGTAAGAATCTTGCAGCCTGTACCCCCACAGCGCTCCATAAATTCATCAATTGGCAGCTGTGCACACTGTATGCCTTCTGCATATGCACTGCTCAGGCTAACGTTCTGCGCAAAAAGAAGCATCACAGAAAGGAGTTTAAAAAGCTACACATGCTTCAAGAAATAGTTGAGCTTCGTTTACAAAACAGACAATTCAGAATCTCAACTTAACTTAAAGGGGGTCATGAACCACTTTTTGATGTAATCCTCAAATGCCCTCTGTATCAGAGTTTATTGTCTCATGAACAAATTGCCACAAGAATTTTTCGACTCTGTCAAAAATGAGCATAAGTACAGAAGTTTGTTGTGTGATTTCGGCACTATTCATCTTTCTTCGACACGACCAGTGTGCTGGAAGCTAAGCAGGAAGGAATGGCACAGTGGAAAGAAATTACGCAAGTGTGCAATAGGAACTTGAGTGGGCATGATGAAATGCAATCACTTCTTTCCATTGTGAATCCTGTGCACAAGTGCGTCTCACAGTGAAATGTTAGCAGACTATGGAATGCAGCACTGGCATGTGGTGGCAGCCCATCACAAGAAGCACAGCTGATCCAAACGCCACTCTTGATTTATGTTAGCTATTGGCCAATAGCATGCTACCAGCTGTATGGCATCTAACACTGGCCGCCGGCAACTTCGAAGTGAGAGAATACAAGCCTCAGTATCAAAAGACAACACCTGAGAAAATAGCAACTTCTTGCTACACCGGCAACGTCAGCTTGTCATGCACGACTGCAAGATTTTCCTGAGATGTTCTTAGCAGTGTGTGTTACCCACCGAATGTATTTTGCCACCAAGCACAAGAGGTAAATCATGGCCCCTTTAAAAAGACCCTGAAACTTTTTTTTTAGTTTTGTCAGCGTTTAGGGTAGAGCATCATGAAACTATTTGCACCTGAAAGTTAGAGACACACCGTGTGCCAAGGCCACTATGGACAATTACATAATACCCTCCTCCTCACCTTGCCTTGCCTCCTGAACTCATGCCACACTCTGGCATCACTGGCAATCGCAAAGCTCTCACAAGTGCACTCGATGATTTGAGCTTTGCCCAGCCATGACCAACGAGATTGCACGCCGACAGGTTGCACGCAATCTCGGAGACCACAGCGCAGTGGGTCCAGCAGCATGCACGCCTTCTGGCAATAGAAACGATGATCGAGAAGTGGTCGGTATCTGCTTCAACAGGTGCCGCCACTCTACCAGCCGACCTCACTTGCAAACATTACACACCAAATCAGATCAGCAGCCTGTGTGACGTCGCACTTCCAGCGGATGCTGTACTGTGAACGGGCGACTGAAAACATGTTTGACTGAGCCGCAGTGATTCACAGCGATTTGCAGCTTTAATGCATTCTAATAAACTACACAGTTTATGCAGAGAGCTTAAATCAGTCTGCAATGGTCCTTGGGACTTGGTCTACCAGCCTAATGCATTTGTACAAATTCGTCAAAACCCTTTCACGGTCCCCTTAAAGCTTTGCCAAAAATAATACTCGAGTCCTAAATATAACAGTGGCAAATAAATCCTGGTTAATAAAACAATTACTACATAACATACAGTGTTGTCTAACAAGTATTTCTAAAGTGCACATAACTGCTACCACATAACAGTTATATGTGCTATTTAACAGATACATTTGGTTCAGCATTTAAAAGGGTGGTGCCATCAAATTTCAAGGCTATAAGAAGCCTCATGTGGGTTTCCTCTGTATGCAAGGAGGCTCCACATAAATGGTCAAACACAGCAAATGTTTAGAACATACAGTCGAACACAGCTCTATCGAACCCACATATATCGAATTTTCGGGTATATCAAACTCGCAAGTTATCTCCTTGAAATTCCTTTGTAAAAGAATAGAAATTCACATGTTTATATTCAACGGTATTTTTGCCCACCTTCGAATATATCGAATGCTGTGCGAGCTGGAAGGTGCGCTTCAGCACTCCCCCCCCCCCCCCCCCCCATCTCCCTCCACAGTCTCTGTGGCAGCCCGGCTCCGCGAGCAAGCTAGAAGGTGCACTTTAGCACTTGCAGCACCCAGCAAACTCTGCGCGTCACTGCGCGTCACCACGCCTCCGCCAAAACCCGAAACACTTGAAAAAAGGTAAGGGCTAGTGGGCTCTGACTTGTGGAACAGTTTTTTTTTTTTTGTTTCCCTTTCTCTCTCTCATGTTTTATCCGTATACCCATCGGCTCGGAGAGCAGGAACGAAGGAGCCGATGTCATCCTCTCGTTTTTTTATTTTTTGTTGCTCTTTTGCGAGTTTTGATCACCCAACTACGGCTCACGCCTTTTGCTGTTACTCTCGCAGGTGGCCGTCACCTCCAAGCGCTTTTATGCTACTGCTGACGGGTCGCCTACGTACCACTGCATGTGCACCATTTCTATTTTGTGTGCGTGGCGTGCAAAGCCGCTGAGGACTCCTTGAATTATTGACTTCTTGTGTAGCTATGGCCAGCTTCAAGAAGCACAAGACCCTTGACTTTGCAAGGAAGTTGAAAACTATTCAGTGTGTTGAGGCGGGTGAGAAATGTTCGGCCGTTGCGAACGACTTTGGGATACTACGGAGCACACTGAGTACCTTGTTGAAAAGCGGTGGAGCAGCGAATGTTGGGAGCCTGTCATGTGCACACTTTTGCCCACAGCAATGTAGAAAAGGCACTCTATGCCTGCTTTCTAGAAGTGCGCGCGAAGAACATTCCGGTGGATGGTCCGATGCTGATCCCGAAGCTCAAATGGTTTGCCGCTGCACTCGATGAAACAACTTCGCCGACAACAGCGGATGGCTTCACCTTTAAGCAGTGCTAGAACACCATTGGCAAAACCAATTCTGCGAGAAGCAAAGCTGTCAGCAGCCAGGACATCCAGCAGTGAATGACAAAGGAGTCCCCAGAAATCTTCGCAAAGTTTTCTTCCGTAGAGATTTTCAATGCCTGGTGAGGCGTAAAGACGGACAAAGTGGTCAACTGCTTCCACAAGGCCGGCTTCAAGATGGCGGAGCTTGCGCAAAGCGGTCAAGACGACGACAAGCACATAGACGACGCATTTCACAAGTTGTCGTCCCACTTCCCGGCAGCAGTTTCACACGAAGTGTCTGCGGAAGACTTCGTGGAAGCGGACTGCAATGTCCAGGCCAACAGCTCATGTGACAAGGAGGATTGTCCGGACTAGGCGCTGGCTACACACGTGTACTCTGCCACTGAGGTGGCGGCATCATTCGGCATCATTCGGCATTGTATTGGCCACATGAAGGGAACCGGGCTGTGGCACCTTGACAGCCTTGATAAGATCGAGACTAGCGTCTTCAACATTTCAAAAAAGAAGAAGCAGGCGAAGATTACCTATTTTTTATGCAAACAAACTCTGTTGCGGGCGTGAGTGAGGAATTATTTGTCATTCTTGAATGCACCTATTGTAACTGATGATACGCTACAGGTAAGCTCTCGGGGGGTTTATTTTTTTTAATCAGATTTTCCATATATCGAACTAATTTGTGATCCCCTTCGAGTTTGATATCAGTGTTTGACTGTATTTTAATTATATTACAAACTGCGACTAAATCCTCATTCTCCCGATCGAAGCCCATCGCAAGCACATCACACCAGACCTGTAGCAAGGTGAGTGACATCTGGACCTCCGCCACGTACGTACTGGCGAAGCATTGCAGCAGCTGCAGCTAGCGGCACGTTTGTTTTGCAGGTGCTTGACAGAATGTTTGTCTTGCACGTGCTTGTGTCACACGTGTGTGCAAGAACAGACAATACTAAGTACGACGTGCGTCAAAGCTTTGTGAGGTGACGTGACTGAGTCACCTAAGCTGCTACGTCAGTGCCCAACTCAGTGCCCACAGACAGAAACTGAAAATTGTCCACATAAATAAAACTATTATAAATTATTTAGCGAGAATAAATTATTCTTAGTGCATGCATAGAGCTTCTTGGGGCTATAAGAAATGCTTGCAGCAAAAAAAAGCTGCAAGCACCATTTTTAAGTGCTTGAAATACATCAGGTTCTGGATACAAGTGTGGCCAAAATACAGCAAAGGGCCAAAATACACCGAGGGTAACCTGATGGACACAATAAAACTTCTTCACGAAATTGCCATAAATAGCTGAATAGACTGATCTCACCGCAATTGCACTACTTCCCCGCTGCCGCAAAACATGATGGTACTTGGAGTGCTCTCCAAGTACATTTAGCTGCATGGGTGGGCTGCATCAATCACCTTTAGCACCGTATTAGCACAAATCGCGATGGCTGGGTTGACATGCTGCATACTGGGCAACACAACAGCAGCCTAAGCGAAGTTAAGCTCAACAGGAATGCGTGGGACAGTCAATGAAGTAGGGCAAAGCAGCAACTGCCATGAACTTCTAACGTGTTGTTCAATGTGCTTCCGAGTTCAGAGTGTATTGTATAATTCATGGTAGTTTAGAAGTGCTCTACTGCATCATAACAGCTTTCTGTACCATTGATGAGTCAACTGGCGACAGCAAAACTGCATGCAACATGTGGTCGGTTGCGTTGTCGAGGCAATCGCAATCAGCAGCGGCAGATTGGATACATGCTTTCCAGGCAAAATTGAGATCACCTAAACCAACCTGTCACCAAAATAATCTAATATCTGGAGTTTTACATGATAAAACCACAATATGATTATGAGATGTGCCATAGTGAAGGGCTCTGGCAATTTTGAACATCTGGTGTTCGTTAATGTGCATGGACATCGCACAGCACATGAGCCTCTACCATTACATCTCTCACCACAAGCGATGACTACTGTGAAGTATATCACTTGAATGAGACATGTGCTACAAACAAAGCCTATAACTACAAGCTGTACGTGTACGTTCGCACCAACGTTTTTAGATACTGGAAGTTGGAAAAGCTCGCTCCGGAGGCGGCACAAACTTGTATCCGCTCCGAGGAGCGGATACAAGTACACTGGCATAGCATTGGCATAGGATACACTGGCATAGCATTGAAATTGAGCCGCCGCCGCCTTTCTGGGGGAGCGTTGTGTGTGCGTGTGCGTGTGCGTGCGTGAGTGTTTGTTTATT